CTCACACACATTCATATACGTTTAAAGATACGCTTTTTCTCATAGTGGTTTTTGTAGGAAAGCCAATAGAAATTTGAAGGGTTCTTGTTCTCTTTGGAACAATAGGATACGGCCACAGCTGTAGTGAAGATTTTTTGTCGAGGGTAGTCCGTACGTTTTCCGTTATTAAATGCGTTTGGGAAGTGACCTCAGATTTGGGTTGCCCCGTCTCCTAGCTGTAGTGGAAGAATTTTTCTATGTCTAGGTTATTATTTACGTCTTCCGTAATGGAATGCGCGTTGGAGGGCGCTCGCTGTCTCATCGTAACGATCGCACAGCGTTAGATACGTATCGATCATCCAGTCATTGAGCACGCTTGACGATCGATACCATTGTTGTGCGATCGTTACGATGAAGAAGCCCAGTGGTGTCCTTCCTGACTCACGTTGCCCCATCGTCCAGCGCTTTGAAAATTTTCCTTGTATTCACGAGAGTTTTTGCGTTTTTAACAATAGTGTGTTCAGAGGGTATCCTTTTAGAACCATACGGCTTCTTTGCACAGCAGCGTGAAAATATTTTTGAGTGAATGCAAGAATCGACGTTTTTCATAGTGTGGGGAAGTGGTTTGCTTTCAAATATGTGTGGCCCCGTTGCCCAGTGTTTCAAAAAGTTTTTTGTGTGGAGGTAAGCCTTGATGTTTTTCGTAGTTCAAGTCCTGTTTGCCCTTCAGCTGATGAATCCTTAAAAATCTCTTCTTTCTGTTAGAAGCGTTTGGCAGCTTTGTGTACTATATTGCTAGGAATCCTCTAGGTCCAAAAAAGGAATTAGCAGTGACAATGAAGGAAGCTATTGATCTCTGAGAAGAGTAAAAGTTTACCCTCCTACGATCTCCGCTAAATGGTCGTCTCGAAATTTATTTGAAGCTATGTTCGACAAATTTGAAGGAAAGATACAGAAAGTAGGCGAAAAAATGGTGGTATGGAAGATGGAATATGGCTGGCGCGATCTCCAGGAAGAGTTAACTCATAAGGTCACTAGAGGACTGGAACAGGGAATTTCAAGATCTTCGTCACCAATACGGGGATCTCATTCCATGAAATCTTAGCAACAGGTGCTGGGAGCTCGCACTAAGTACTATAGTAATGTACAACTTCTATATCACTGGGAAACACATAGGAAAGTATGGGAACGCTCAGCGTCATAGGAAATGGTGCCCTTTACTCGCTTGGTCTAGTGATGAATCCCTAATTGAATGTTTTTCATTCCTTTACTTCTACTCTCTTATACAGGGTTGCGAGGAAATGTCCACGTACAAATCAGCATTTCTATCATTCTTGGTCTACCACTCAGTAAAAGTGCTTGGCACGAAT